ATCTCTTTTTTCAACTTATTGTTGTATATTAGACTCCATTCCACATTCTCTATTTCTCGCTCAGGTTGTCAACCATTATAATAAATTGTTACTCCATAGCAGTGACAAGTGCTTTGGCACTGGGTTAGAAGTGCTTTACAGAGGTCGTGTTAGTGTTGGCAGTAAAGAAGATTATTATGATTGTTATGGTTGCAGCATACAACAAAACACATAAAATTTTATGGTTTGTAATATGATACATTTTATTTCAAGTTTAGGAAATAACAAAGGGAATGCTACTTAATGATTTGAAAAATAACTGAACACCAACCACCCCCAAAACTCCAACAACTTGTCAACCCCTGCATTTAAATTTGTAGCTGCTTATTTACTGCTTAATCCTTAAGGGAGCAATTTCACTGTTGTTTGCTTAAAGCCCTGATACATTTGTAACAGTTATGAAACACGATTTGTCAAAATGTGTTATTTATCATTATCACTGTGATTGCTTTGGCTCGATTGAGAAAACACCTTTTTCGAGAGGGGTTTATAACCATTTATACCTTTATTTATTCGATAACGTGAATTATTGCTGTATTAACTTAAGCAAATAAAACACAATTTACAATGAAATCCTACACAGGTTGTGATAGCATTATTTGAAGCATTTATTCGCACTGATGATAAATTCCCAGCAAAAACATGGATTGTAATTGACTATTGTAATGACTACTGCCTACCGTCTGCATTACTTAGAAGGGCTATAGTAATGACTTATAAATAATTTTAGATGTTTTCAAATTTAATTTTTCTGCAGAAACGGAAAAAAATTTAGTTTTGTGTGAAAACTACACATTAGTAGAATGGACGTATCTTCGTTACGTAACTCCCAGCAAATAAGGAGTTACGTAAGTAACTCGCGATAGTGGAAGATACTTGCCTCCAGCGTCATCATCGCGTTAAAATAATAACATAAAATGCTACTGTGTTAATAAATTTTTGCATTTTCACATCGTGTTTGGCAATTAAAGATTCTGCTGAGTTACTTAGGTATAAAATATATAAACTTTATTTACTTTAATGGAATATCTGGCTTCATATTGTGCAACCATGTGAATGGGACAAGGATAGTTCTCGAACTAAACTAGCACGGAACTAACAAGAACTGAACTAGAATTGAATTAGAACTGAACTCTAATTGAACTAGAACTGAACTAGAACTGAACTAGAACTGAACTACTGAACTGAACTAGAACTGAACTAGAACTGAACTAGAACTGAACTAGAACTGAACTAGAACTGAACTAGAACTGAACTAGAACTGAACTAGAACTGAACTAGAACTGAACTAGAACTGACTAGAACTGAACTAGAACTGAACTAGAACTGAACTAGAACTGAACTAGAACTGAACTAGAACTGAACTAGAACTGAACTAGAACTGAACTAGAACTGAACTAGAACTGAACTAGAACTGAACTAGAACTGAACTAGAACTGAACTAGAACTGAACTAGAACTGAACTAGAACTGAACTAGAACTGAACTAGAACTGAACTAGAACTGAACTAGAACTGAACTAGAACTGAACTAGAACTGAACTAGAACTGAACTAGAACTGAACTAGAACTGAACTAGAACTGAACTAGAACTGAACTAGAACTGAACTAGAACTGAACTAGAACTGAACTAGAACTGAACTAGAACTGAACTAGAACTGAACTAGAACTGAATAACTGAACTAGAACTGAACTAGAACTGAACTAGAACTGAACTAGAACTGAACTAGAACTGAACTAGAACTGAACTAGAACTGAACTAGAACTGAACGAACTGAACTAGAACTGAACTAGAACTGAACTAGAACTGAACTAGAACTGAACTAGAACTGAACTAGAACTGAACTAGAACTGAACTAGAACTGAACTAGAACTGAACTAGAACTGAACTAGAACTGAACTAGAACTGAACTAGAACTGAACTAGAACTGAACTAGAACTGAACTAGAACTGAACTAGAACTGAACTAGAACTGAACTAGAACTGAACTAGAACTGAACTAGAACTGAACTAGAACTGAACTAGAACTGAACTAGAACTGAACTAGAACTGAACTAGAACTGAACTAGAACTGAACTAGAACTGAACTAGAACTGAACTAGAACTGAACTAGAACTGAACTAGAACTGAACTAGAACTGAACTAGAACTGAACTAGAACTGAACTAGAACTGAACTAGAACTGAACTAGAACTGAACTAGAACTGAACTAGAACTGAACTAGAACTGAACTAGAACTGAACTAGAACTGAACTAGAACTGAACTAGAACTGAACTAGAACTGAACTAGAACTGAACTAGAACTGAACTAGAACTGAACTAGAACTGAACTAGAACTGAACTAGAACTGAACTAGAACTGAACTAGAACTGAACTAGAACTGAACTAACTGAACTAGAACTGAACTAGAACTGAACTAGAACTGAACTAGAACTGAACTAGAACTGAACTAGAACTGAACTAGAACTGAACTAGAACTGAACTAGAACTGAACTAGAACTGAACTAGAACTGAACTGAACTAGAACTGAACTGAACTAGAACTGAACTAGTTTAAGACATATCTAGAGAGATATCTATTCTTATTCATTCCTGTCCTTCGTGTTTTCCACTCTTCATAAAACATGAGCTTTCGGAGGCCCATTTTTGATGCCTCTGTTTATGGGTTAATATAAATATCCAACCACTACATTTAACAACCAATCAAGTTTTAGCAATAAAGCCCAAATCAATTTCATTTAATGTAAACACACTAAATAAACACATACAATTATTGTAAAATACTTGTAACAATGTTCATACTTACACATACCAAACATCCTGTCAGCCATACCAAACTGAAACCAGTCAGTTTGCCAGCCATCCAGGCAGTATAGTACAAGAAAAAAGTATGAACAAATCTTCAATTAACCTTTTGTATTACAACAACAAAAAACGTAATAACAACTACAAATAAAATGAATCGAAAATGAAAACGAAAACGATTGTCATGACACAAAGCAACTTGTAATTTGATACTTAATTGACACATTGCTCGTAAATTTGCCAATGAGTTGTTGTTGCTGTTGCTGTTGGGTGGAAGGAACACGAAGGATGAAGCACATAAGAAATAACAAGAATCTGACAAGAAGGACAGCATGAAATACTTACTTACATCCTCATTCAAGTATGTAATGATCATGAGACGTGTTAAACTTTTTTTTAAGGCTAAGTTTATAACAGAAACGAAATACCAATTATCCCAAAATAAAAAAATATAATATAAATAAAATGAAAATAAAATAATGTTAATAAAACAAGAGGAAAATTAAATGAAATAAAGAAGTAAATAACACTTCTCCATATAAATGGTTTTGGCTGTCTGGATTTAATGATTGAATATTGGATTTAAGTATGAAACAATAATTGGAACATCTTAGCAAAACAGAATAACTTTCTGTCCTATATCAGTTCACGTCGTAGAAAACCTATCATTCTCCTTTAATTTATAAGTCCGTTTTAAGATAAGGCTGCATTCCCTTTTATATGAAGTGTTTAAACATGAACCGGTTCCAATACTAAATAATTGAACTAGAACTAAATTAGAATAGAACTAGTGTTAGTAAAGTTGTATGAGAAGTCAGTGGAAAGTACAAAAGCACAGAATGCTCTATTCCTAGTTTAAAACTCGATTTTTTCTAAGTTTTTGTTTTTAAATCATAAATTTGAAAAACCAATTATCAAAAACATAAATTAGTTCCTTTCTGTGTGAACTACAACTCTACTTTCAAACTTTCTACAGAATAAAACCGTCAGAAAACCACCAATAAACATTATAAATGCGACATTAAATGAAATTTATTTTTAAACTAATTTTCATTATTGATAACATTAATTATGAAATGCCACGTTAAGAAAATATGAACCAAAATAAAACAAGCAGAACGAAAAATTAAGTTTTACACTTTCCCACACTATTTTAGAGGTAATATTTTTTTTAAAAATGAAAACTAACAAAATTTTATAATTAGTAGTGGCAAAACAAATCAAATTTGTAGAAACATTTTTATCTACAAAACAATTGAATGAATGTGTTGCTGCAACCAAAACACGGTAACCGCAATGGAGTAGAAACAAAAACAGACACTCAACACTCCAACCAAACCATCCATCACGGAGTCCACAAGCAAGACCCAGTAAAGTGCTGTTGTTTGTTTACAGCAGCGAGCACAACAGTATATTCGTTTACGCACGCTCTTTAAATGGGAAAATAAGCGGAGGGGGCGATGGTTGGGATTTATGATACAAAACATTGAATTTGTTACGCCTGACTCGAAATGATCAAATAAATATAATTTAAACAAACAAGAGAGACAGACGGACAGACGTAGTGAGTCGTTTGTAGTAAAATACTTTTACACAATGGGGCTGCAATTCATTGTCAGATTGATTTGTTTAATTGGCTACGAAAAGGTAAAATATGATGGTTTTTTCTTTGGCATAAATATTATTTTGGTGCTTATTTAAGAGCTCCGTTATGTCCAGTTTTCTATTATTTTTTTATACTTGCACCATGACTCTATTGTTCCATTATGTATGTAAATTGGCATCAGAGTGGTGTTTGATTGTTTCATTACTTTTTATTACCAGTGATTTGTACAATTGTTTGTTGGTTAAACAAATTTCTTAACATAAATACCAAATAATGGTGTGTGTGTGTGTGTAGCTTTCAATCTCTATAATGCCGGTGATTAATAGGATTGTTGAAAAAAATAGTTATTAAATGCTGCACAGTAATAATTTAGAGGAGCAATATAAAAAATAAAATGAAATATCAGATCATTTGCTATATTTATAAACGGTGGGAATTTCTTTTTTTGAAAAGAAAACGCATCAAAATTATGGTTTTAATAAATCAGGTCATATTGAAAATTTTAACAAATTTCACTTTTTAAACAAACTGTTTTAACAAGTTTTTACACATACCTCTTAATACCCGATCAACAAAACAGAACAATTTCTGAATAAAACACATAAATAGGCGCCACTTCTAATCCCCCTTAAACTCTCAGCCATTTGAGTATCGAGAGTACAGTATAATAGACATCTAACAATCTACAACACATGTCTAAACAACACCCACTTAATTTGTTGGTGCTGGTGCATCCCCACTACATCATCATCACCATCTTCAACGGAGACGTGCAACAAAGTTTGTAGGGAATAAGTATGAGCGAGAAAATCTGAAATGAAATGTTTACATAAAACAAATTACTCAACAAAATGTTATACGCGCACATTTATCTTCATTTCAGAATTTAGTGGCTTTTGTCTGTGATTTTGCTTTAGGTCAGTAAGTGACAAGGAGTGAAATCATTTTAAGCGAAACTGAAGTGAATTAGAACTGAACTAGAACTGAAACGGAACTAAACTAGAGACTGAACTAGAACTGAACTAGAACTGAACTAGAACTGAACTAGAACTGAACTAGAACTGAACTAGAACTGAACTAGAACTGAACTAGACTGAACTAGACTGAACTAGAACTGAACTAGAACTGAACTAGAACTGAACTAGAACTTGAACTAGAACTGAACTAGAACTGAAACTAGAACTAGAACTGAACTAGAACTGAACTAGAACTGAACTAGAACTGAACTAACTAGAACTGAACTAGAACTGAACTGATAACTGAACTAGAAAGACTAGAACTGAACTAGAAACTGAACTAGACTGAAACTAGAACTGAACTAGAACTGAACTAGAACTGAACTAGAACTGAACTAGAACTGAACTAGAACTAGAACTGAACTAAACTGAACTAGAACTGAACTAGAACTGAACTAGAACTGAATAGAACTAGAACTGAACTGAACTATAACTGAACTCGAACTAGAACTGAACTAGAACTGAACTAGAACTACTAGAACTGAACTAGAACTGAACTAGAACTGAAACTGAAAAGAACAGTGAACAGACGAAATGAACTAGAAAATCTGAACTAGAACGTACTATTGAACTGCACTAGAACTGAACATTCTAACTAGGAACTAGAACTGAACTATGGGAACTTAAATTAAATGAAAAATCAAATCAAAAATCGATTTTTAATCAAATCATAATTTTGGTAAAATGGATTTTAAATGAAAATCCGTTTTTTAATAGGTTTGGTGAAAAAAATTTTAAAAAAATTATTAAAAAAATTATGAAATTGAGATTCGATGAAAATTCGTAATTATTGTGATACAATAATGGGATTTTAGTAAAAATTCGGTGTTTTCCCAAAAACAACTTTCAAAGAAATCACTCTTTTAAAACCATGCTAAATACACTTAAACACTTCTGCAAAATAAACAAATAAAACTCAAAAGTCATGAAAATTGTGAAGAACAAAAATTAATTGTATTCAATTTGCCCACAAATGTTAAACACAAACATTTGTTAGTGAGCGGGAATCCTCATTCCTCGTACGTTACACTATGTGATGGGTGAGAAATTTATAAATTTTTCCCCCTCTCTCATACACGCCAAAGCGTAAGAAATGACACCAACAAATAAATCAAAAAATATTTTCAATATATTTTTTTTTTTTTTTCTCCAAAAATCACTGAATCATTTTCAAATGGATTTTTGCTTTAGACAACAAATAGGTATTTTTCGTGTATTAAATATGGAAATTTGTGTTTGTTGGTTCAACAACTTTGTAGGGATTTTTATTTTCAATTCCAATATGAAAAAGAAAAAATAGAAAAAGTCGAGACGCGACATGTAGTCTATGGGTCTTGTTAAGTAAATCTTCTGCCATAAATAGATGTAGATATATTTACTCATGTGTAAGTTATTGTTGCTTTTATTCGATTACTTGTAAAATTTATATTCATTTCACATCATCGATCATTTAAGAAAATTATGACAGATTTCAATGATAAATGTGTGTGATTTCAAAAAGCTTTCAACACAATTCATATTTCTAATGGGGCTGTGTAGTAAATAAATAGTTATTGTTTGATTTTGTTTCTATTTGGTTTTAGTGTTGTTGTTGTTTCATATAATCAATTGGTTTTGGTTACGGGATTTGTACGTGAAATTGTATTTTCAATTGTTTTCTTTGCAAGAGAAGAATATGCAAATAATTATTAAATTTCCTTGACCTATTTCACTTATAGGAGAACAACAAAATAACCCCTTATGTGTGTTAAGCAGCTAAACAAATCTCAAAATATGTCAAGCAACATGACCTGAATAAGATACATGTTTAAAAATTAAAAGTGTCAACAGCTAAATATTGAATTGGGGCTCTCGGAAACTTGGGATTCTTTATACAAAATTAGAAAGCTTATTTTCTCAACCAAAACTTACAATAAAAACTCTCTTCGTAGATACCATAAGTTTAAAACACAAACATCAGCTAACAATTTGAAATCATTTCCACATTCACACTCCACCAAAACATTATTAACAAACATAACAAATTCGCCTTCCCTTTAGAAAAAAATGTACACATATTTTTTCCTTAATAAACTAATCGTTTATATTATGATCATGATATTCACACTTAATTAGATTGGAATCATAAATGGTGCATAAAATCCAATTAATTCATGGGGCCGCATTAAGTGCTGCTATCAACACTCAAGGCAAATAATCCAACAATTAAAACACTGATTGTTGAGGAAGAAAAACAAGACAGAAGGCAATCAATTGGTTTAATTTACAACCCAGTCAGTAATAGCAACAAAATAAGTACAAAAACACACACACACAAACGAACAATTAAAGTGGGAGTGTTGACAAATAACCAACACTTACCCCATCCGTTACAGACAAGCAGCACAAGACGCCCTTCACTTTTTTGTGTTTTTGCCACAACTAGCAGCTGCAGTAACGTGTAAGTGGTTAAAGTTTTTTTCCTGAACATCAACATCCATCAACACTTACAAAAAATGCAATTGCATTTACATACATACATACATACATACATACATACATACATACATACATACATACATACATACATACATACATACATACATACATACATACATACATACATACATACATACATACATATGTAAATACTTAAAGAAAAAAACTCAAAAAAGTTGTGTGTGAGTATATGTGGAAATAAATTTTGTTTTAAATTATTGACATCCACTTAATATATCCATCTACTTTATTAAATATTTTATGGCCACATGAACTCCTCCTTTTGATGTACACACACTCTCTCAGCCATTTATTCGTAATGTTCATGCCACAAATATGCAGACGAAATACATTTCCACTGTGCGTTGAATGTATAAATTAATGAGCAACAATTATTCTTTTCATTTTTAATATGAAAATGGGCAACCACCCCACACCACACATCATATTTTTTCGACAGACACATGGTGGGGAATTTATCTAATAATTAATTTAATGATTTGAAAAATGTTTCTTATTTTTTTTTTAATTTTCACCCAATTTTAATGTCAAAAATATGTTTGTTTAACAAGCGGTTAAGTAGGTGAGAATGAGTGAGATTTTGAAATGGATTTGGTTTTTAATATTTAAAATTTTCTAGAAATTTAGAAACTAGTAGTTATATGTAAGAAGTCCTTAGTACAAAAGCTACAATCGAAACGACCTAACTGGTTGTTTCCAGTAACAATTTAACAAGTTAGGTTCGGAAAATTTACATTCTTCATATATGACAAAGTACTCGGTGGCGGAAGGAAAACTAGACAAGAATTTAAACTGAACTAGAACTGAACTAGAAGTGAACTTGAACTGAACTAGAAGTGAACTAGAAGTGAACTAGAAGTGAACTAGAAGTGAACTAGAAGTGAACTAGAACTGAACTAGAACTGAACTACAACTGAACTAGAACTGAACTAGAACTGAACTAGAACTGAACTAAAACTGAGCTAGAACTAACTAGAACTGAACTAGAACTGAACTAGAACTGAACTAGAACTGAACTAGAACTGAACTAGAACTGAACTAGAACTGAACTAGAACTGAACTAGAACTGAACTAGAACTGAACTAGAACTGAACTAGAACTGAACTAGAACTGAACTAGAACTGAACTAGAACTGAACTAGAACTGAACTAAAACTGAACTAGAACTGAACTAGAACTGAACTAGAACTGAACTAGAACCGACTAGAACTGAACTAGAACTGAACTAGAACTGAACTAGAACTGAACTAGAACTGAACTAGAACTGAACTAGAACTGAACTAGAACTGAACTAGAACTGAACTAGAACTGAACTAGAAACTGAACTAGAACTGAACTAGAACTAGAACTAGAACTGAACTAGAACTGAACTAGAACTGAACTAGAACTGAACTAGAACTGAACTAGAACTGAACTAGAACTGAACTAGAACTGAACTAGAACTGAACTAGAACTGAACTAGAACTGAACTAGAACTGAACTAGAACTGAACTAGAACTGAACTAGAACTGAACTAGAACTGAACTAGAACTGAACTAGAACTGAACTAGAACTGAACTAGAACTGAACTAGAACTGAACTAGAACTGAACTAGAACTGAACTAGAACTGAACTAGAACTGAACTAGAACTGAACTAGAACTGAACTAGAACTGAACTAGAACTGAACTAGAACTGAACTAGAACTGAACTAGAACTGAACTAGAACTGAACTAGAACTGAACTAGAACTGAACTAGAACTGAACTAGAACTGAACTAGAACTGAACTAGAACTGAACTAGAACTGAACTAGAACTGAACTAGAACTGAACTAGAACTTAACTAGAACTGAACTAGAACTGAACTAGAACTGAACTAGAACTGAACTAGAACTGAACTAGAACTGAACTAGAACTGAACTAGAACTGAACTAGAACTGAACTAGAACTGAACTAGAACTGAACTAGAACTGAACTAGAACTGAACTAGAACTGAACTAGAACTGAACTAGAACTGAACTAGAACTGAACTAGAACTGAACTAGAACTGAACTAGAACTGAACTAGAACTGAACTAGAACTGAACTAGAACTGAACTAGAACTGAACTAGAACTGAACTAGAACTGAACTAGAACTGAACTAGAACTGAACTAGAACTGAACTAGAACTGAACTAGAACTGAACTAG